TTTTTTTTTTTTTTTTTTGCCATCTCGCGATAGTAGTAACACAAACAATCATGCGATGGTACGTACGATGAACTTGATGATGATTTACTTGTTTCGTCCAATGACGTTCTCGACTAGTGTGCAGAATTCTGTCCGGGGTTGAAATCTCTTTAGAAACTGTTTTTTTTTTTTTTTTAGAATTAGTTGAAAGAAATAAAATTCATTAAATTTAAAATGTGTGGTGATGTAATGTGGCGTCATGTGGTGTAGAGTACACCGGAAGTACGTCACGGGGGTGGAGGTAAAGGGGGAGAATCAAGCAAAATCTACTTCCGTCACACTTTTTCTCAAGGTCAAAATCTGAAATCGTTGATTTACCCTCGCGCATAACGCGACTATATAAGTATAACTTCAAAAACATGTATCCGCAGTGGCTCGACGTACCACCTGGGCAACTTTGACGAGTGCCTGGAAATCGGCAAGAACGAAGACGACAAGACGCCGCAATCGATCGGCGGCCAGTACTGCCTCAGCCGAGTGAAAATCGGCGTGCCGGAAGACCGCGCGCTCCACCGGCCGATCTCCCCCGTGTGGCGCAAGTTCACGAAACTCAAGCAGCGCTACGACGACAAGATCGAGGAGCTCCACTGGGGCGTGTGCATGCCCGACTCGTGCACCAGCCGGGACGTCGAGGGGGTCATCAACGCACTGGTCACCAACGCCCTGGCGAGGACCAATTTTGACGTCGACGTGAAAATCGAGGAGCGCGCCTGCTACAAGCAAGAGAAGGCGGTCAACTTCACAACCGCGGAAATCGCTTACCTGTGAGTTTTTTTTTTTTTTTTCTTGTTTATTGCCGACGCTTGGATTTTTTACCCCCTCTTTCGTATAATTGCATCAATCTGTTGTTCGACATAACTCCGCGATGATGATGGATGATAATCGTATTGTTTGGTCCGACATCGGGCGCTTTTTGTAGAAGTAAATTTTTTTGTTTGTACCCCGAGATTGTTTGAAATGCCAAGTTTCATATCTTAATAACAGACTTGGGGTAGGAGGTTCGATATTTTAAAAAAAAAAAAAAAATCATCATTGTTGGCTCGCTTCAACGTTGTTTTGGAGACGTCGAAAAATCAATACGATCGTTTCAAATTTTAACCCAGGAATTTTATTTTTGAAAAGTTTTTTGGACAAAAATGCAACAATTTGTTTTCTTTTAATTGGCACCTCGTTGCGTGTATATAACTTTTTTCGACACACTCAGCGAAAAAAAAAAAAAAAAAATGAAAGTGCCATTTATTTTTCCTCTCTGAGAATAAGACAGTCTTTCAAAAACATTCGTTTCTAAATATTATGGTTGCGCAATGATCTCGCGCAAGGTGACACGAATCGGAATGAAATGTGTTAATTTTGTGACGAAACGATTCCCTCTTGTGCCGTTATATAATAATAAATATTTTTATCATCTTTCAGAGCTGTGATATCCATAGTGATCGCTACTGTTGTCGTCGGCACCATTTACGATGTGTTTTACGTGAAGAGTAACAATTTGCCAGACGGTCTTTTGCCCCAAGTACTCGTGGCTTTCTCCATGACGTCGAATTTAAAAAAGCTTTGCAGTCCAGCCCACGAGGATTTGAAGTTTGAATGCATTTCGGGGATCAAGTTCTTGTCAATGGTTTTCGTGATAGCCGGCCACACGCTGATTTTCGTTGTCAGTGGACCCGTGCTCAACAAGAAGTTTTGGAATGAGGTAATTACACGGACTTTGTCACCCCCCCCCCCTATTTTTTGACACTTCAATATTAAGGTAGGCTCCAAATATAGGCACAAAAATTAATTGGGTGCGATCAATCGTTATCTTATCTCATCGCGCTAAACTTGCCAACTGAGTAATCAATGTAAAGTCCAAGGTCAATTAATTCGTAACGAATGGCGATCCATTTTTCTTTTTTATTCTTGGAAAATGTATGCGACACATGTATAAGTAAATTTTAGTGTTTGTTGAGATTTTTTTCTCCCCAACTGTTGAGTTAAATATTGCTGCTCTCTAAATTAAAACCAGTGAAAATGCTCACTATTTTAGTAGTCAACCTTTTTTTAAATTAAAAAAAAAGGTGATAATTTTCACTACTTCTGTAACGAACTCTTTTTTCACTTATATTACGCGAAAAATTTACTCTCCAGGTTGCCAACTTCTAAGAAATAGTCAATTGTTTCATTATACCGCAAAGTAACAAATACACAATCAGTGATGTAATCGTAAAAAAAAGCCCAATTAAAGGAACTTTAGACATGCCTTTTAATCGCAGTAGTAACAGGGAAGAATTCACCAAAAAAAAAAAAAAAAAAAAACAGAGATCTCCTATTTGATTTTCATTTTCGATCCGATTGCACATTCGTTCCATCCCACGCGAAAAAAAATCCAGCAAATCGCGCCGGAAAACTCGAATAGCTCATGACGTCACGATTCCAGGCGATCGGCAAAGTGGAGTACTCTATATTCCTGAACAACCCCCTCCTCGTGGACACCTTCCTGCTCATGGGAGGCTTCCTCTTCGCGAGGATTCTCCTCCAAGAGCTGGACAAAAGAAAATCGGTCAACTTCATGATCCTGTACGGATATCGCTACTTCAGGTACGTGCAAGCCACTTTTCGACAATCCATCCATCATACTCCGGGCGCATGAAAAATCGACTCGGCGCGCCTAGCTATTTTCCGAAGCAACAATGCGCCGCTTTTGTTATCACGGACCGGCAACGTTAGCGCGTTGCTCGGGTGAAAATTCCATGGATTTATGTTTCTCGAGCTCTTATAATCAATTGCTCGCCACTACTTTCGAGATAAACGATCCATAATACGCTTGAGCCCGAAAAAGCCGCGTTCTCGGTATGATTTCGAGGCAAAGAGAGACTTTCGCAACGTTGAATTGTCGTCGGTGATTTCGCAGACTGACACCGGCTTACATGGCGATGGTCTTCTTGTACGTGACCTGGCTACCCAAGCTCGACTCCGGGCCGCTCTGGTGGCGCATGAGCCTCGAGCACGAGCGCTGCCTCTCCTCCTGGTGGGCCAACCTGCTCTACGTCAACAACTACATCAACACCGATCAACTCGTGAGTATAAAGACTGTACCTCCACACTGTTTACTGTGAACCTTCTCGTGTGCTTCTCCGGTAACTCAATGACATTTAAATTAACCGCTTTTAATTACAACGTGTCGCAATGGTTTTGCGTAAAAAAAAGGTACATGTTGTGATGTAAGCGAGGATAAGTGTATGGGTATAGACACGCTTTCTGTGTAACGTAACACGTCGTAGTGGTAACTCGAATGGGTTTGTCTCGGCTTTTGCATTTCAGTGTATGTTCCAATCGTGGTATTTGTCAGTGGACACACAATTATTCATACTCGCGCCGGCAGTCATTTATCCTCTGTGGAGGTGGCGCAAAGTGGGCCACTTCATCCTAGGATTCGTCACGATTTTCGCCACGGTCCTGCCCATCGTCGTTACGTACGTCCAGCGCTTGGATCCCACTCTCTTGATATACACCCCGTGAGTCTTTATTTAAATCCTCCTTTGGAATGTTTTTTTTTTTTTTTTTTTTTTTTTTTTTTTTTTTTTTTTTTTTTTTACCTTTCAGGGAAGTTAAAGACATCTCGACAAACGAATATTTCAAGCAGAGCTACATCAAGACGCACATGCGAGCCGGTGCCTATTGTTTTGGTTTGCTGTACGGATACATCGTCTACCGCATACAAAATTCAGACGCAAAGATTCCCAAGGTGAGGGCAACATTTACCCGCTAGTGATATCATCCTGCGACCATAAAAACAGAATAAATACGGCAATTAAAGCATGCATATGTACTATGACGTGCGTATGCTACTTGCATGTTTTTTTTTTTTTTTTTTGCCATCTCGCGATAGTAGTAACACAAACAATCATGCGATGGTACGTACGATGAACTTGATGATGATTTACTTGTTTCGTCCAATGACGTTATTGCTCATGCCCTTTTTGAAAACAGAAAACAGTGCGCCTAGGCTGGATACTGGCCGTTAGCGCGATGGTGCTGTCTATGTGCTCGATCAACGTCTTTTACGGGCCTCGGAAGAATTTCACGACCGTCGAGGCCGCCTTCTACTCGTCGCTCCATCGGGCCATGTGGAGCGCTGGCGTTGGCTGGTTCGTGCTCGCCTGCGTTACCGACAACTCAGGTGACACATTTTTCCTTTTTTTTTTTTTTTTTTTTCCTCCTCCTTTGCTCTCTCCTAAGCTGTACGTACAGCTGCAAGCGGCTGGATCCGTTTCGCCCGGAGCAGCAAAGTTTATTATACTCGGCGATCGATGGTTACGCTCATCGGGTTTTATTATGCAATTATCGAGAGCTGCTTCTTTTTTTGTCCTTGGATTCGTATGGGAGCCGTAGTCTTTCGATTTTTCATTTTATTATTACAACGCGTCTTTGTACCCGTCAACCCCAATTGGGTGGGCTATTTTTTTTCCTTTTTTTTTTTTTTTAGTAGGAAGTTTTGTACGTCTAAAAAAGAATCCTTAAGTTCTCACTGTTATTTTTCATGGCTTTTCCTTTTTTTTTTTCATTCATTTATTTTGTACTTGATAATATCGGATTTACAATCGTAGCCGAGTAAAATTGTAACAAAGATCCTGAAAAAAAAAATTAACGGTCATTCCAAAAACTGCCTTTTACGTGGCAAGGGTATCATGGTTGAAACTGAACAATATGGTAAACGATTCAATTCGATCGACATTATTTCGTAATGATAGTTATTCGATAGTTTTTAACATTAATATTAATCCACGAAATGAAACGCAGGATCGCTGAGGAAAGTTCTGAAGTGGAGACCTTTCGTGCCTCTCAGTCGTCTGACGTACTCTGCGTACCTCGTCAACGGCCTCGTCGAACTACACAGCGTCGCAACTGCCCGAGTACCTCAACACCTCGATACGTTCGAGTTGGTTAGTATTTCATACTTTGAAACAAGTGAATTTTCTTCGTTGGGTTAAAAAATCTCTCGACCGTTATTTTATGATTTCCACACATTTACCAGAAATGTTTCGTTTTTCTCGCAGTTCGGCAAAGTATTGTCACACTTGATGATAACCTTCCTCGGCGCAGTGCTGCTCTCGACGACGTTCGAGTCGCCGATTCTCGGGCTCGAGAGGATCCTCCTGCGCCGCGGTAAATTCCCACATCCATTAAAATAATTAACGCTCGCACGTAAACTTTGGAGTCGTAAGTAATTTCGATTTTCTGTCGACAGAGAGAAAGTCCTCGTCCACGACGCTCACAAAAAAGACCGACAGCGAGGAGACTACCACCACGGAAGCTTGAGTTTAGTAGATTGTTGTTGCCTGTTAAATTTATTTCGGTGTGATTTCTGTCACGAGAGGAGTATAGTGGAATAGACGGTTGGACGTTATTCATCGCCACAGATTGTACAGTTGATGATACCTTTTTTTTTTTTTTTTTTTGCTCGCATGATGTACACGCGGATCGTCACGCCATAGAGCAATTATTTATTTTAGATTTGTACTCAACAAGTTCATTCTTCATTGTCATTTACGTACCTCTTTTTCACTGCCGATGTAAGTTACATTTATACGATACGAAGACTTGGCACTACCATTTCAATCGTAACAAAGTTGTGCGTTTGTTACCCATCGAATCTCTACAAAATGCGTTGCTTGTTCAAAAGCAATTGATTTTTTTTTTTTGTTTTCATATCAAAATTAATTTTCCTAAGGTCTAGACTTTTTTTAACGTTTAACCGTGTACGACGATGAATAATCATAAGTTTTGTTACGTAATGAATACATGTCGTATTTTTTCATGTTGCGAGTATATGCATAATTTTGTAATTACTTTATATATACCAAACGATAAATCTTGTAAATATAATATACGTTATTTAAAAATAAAAAAAAAGAAACGTCTTTTAAAAGTTTTTCGTTATTTTGTATTATTTATATGATTTCTCACTTGAACACGCTTTTAATTATAAAACACTCGGAAGACATGTCACTCCTAAACAGTGGTAAATTCAAAAGCTCATCACACGTACATCAGTGCATTTTACAGTCTCTTACAAACATGTACAAAAAAAAAAAAAACCATTAACAAACTCTCGATCCGAAATTGGTGTTTTTCCACTGGTTCAAGTGTCCTTGTCAGTCCACGACCAGGTCTCCTCATCGGATTTCCTCCTGTACCCCTCGATTTGGTCCTCGTCGTCGTATTCTTCTTCATCAGACTCCAACGACACGGATGACGACCTCGATTCGACAAAATCACCGTTTTTATCCGCGTCGTGACTGCGTGCCTGCCACACGAGCGTCACGTCGCACGACACGTCGGCTGCCTCGATCCCCTCGGACTGCGCCCCTTCGCGACTAGTCTCACCACCGTCATTCGTTTTGTCATCGGGCTCTTCGTCTTGCTTTTCCAGGGACGTAGACGCGGACCTCACATCTCTAACCACAAACGCTGAGGAGCCCTCTTCTTCGGACCTGGACTTTTGCATCTGCCACGCCTTCTTGAAGGGGTGCTCCTGCTCTTGCTCGACCAATTTGGGCCGCTCCGGAATCAAGTATTCCGGATCCTCTTCGCTGGCTTGACTCTGAAAGAAAAAGAACATTTCATGCATGCGCGTTGACAACTAACTGGCCGCTCCTTACTTTGATGATGGACTCTCTTTTTATCAGACCCAGCTTGACGTCCAACTGGTTTGGGTTACTTCCAACCAGTGATTCCTCCTCCGACGACAACCTGCTGAGATCTTGGACCGTCCTGCTGAGATCCTGGACTGTGATTCTCTTGCTGTCGCTTTTCAATGAAAACTCGGACACGTCGTCTTCGTCCTCGAAGGACGTCGGTAGGCTGCCACTGGTGAAGCTCCTCCGCCTCGATTCCGTCGATGACTCCTCCAGATTCTCAAGTTCCTCTCGCAAAGGTGGACCCTGTTCTCGGTACTCCGTTCGTTTGCGATGATACCCTTCCTCGTCGAACTCCTCGTCGTCCGGTTCTTGAGACGAGCCGAGATGGATCTTTGACACGGTCCACAGGGCAATGTTACCCGGTCCGGTGGGTTCCTTCAACAGGGCCATTTTGCCCTCAGCGGAAGACCGGCGTTTCAATGAATCGGCCCACTCGTCATCGGCCTCTTCCTCTTCAATGGGCGGAGGTACGTGGTCGTGCTCCTGAGAGCCTCTAGAGCTCAACCGATCCTGGAAAAATCGACCTCGTTGGAGGCGCGAGTCCTCCTCCCATTCGTCCTCGTCAATGACTCTGGGCTCCGCCGAAGAGTGTCGTGTGAAGCCACTTCTGCGACTGTTATGGTCAAACTCACTGTCCGATGACATTGACCGCTGCTGCTCGGTGAATCTAGGAACACCGGATCGAGACGAGCGTGACTCTTGGTAGTCGTCATCCTTACTTATGGTTATGACCGGTTTATTGCTGTACTCCCTGTAATTATGAATGAACAATTATAATCAATTTGTCGAACCCTGTACTTGAATGTGTAGAAAGATGTACCTCGGTGGAATGTCCGGTTCAGCAGATGCGTGAGACCTACGGACAAGAGTGGACTCTGAATCACGTCCAGGTGACTTGGTGTAGGCACGTGAATATATTCTTTCTCGGGGATACATGTCATAGTCATCGGCTTCCAGCTCGTCCTCCAAGCCGGAACCACTGAATCTGTATCCTCGGCTACTCCTCCTGTAGTCGATTGGTTCTTCGGACCTCGAAGTTCTTCTGCTGTTGTCTCTTGTATCCCACTCGTCGTATCCCGATGAAAACGTATCCGACCTAATGATCGTTTGCCGCCTGACATCCTGCCTCTTTAGCCTCGAGCTGCGGAACGGCGGTTCTTCCCCGGCACTATCCTCGTATTCTCGAGGTTCGGATCTCGCGAGTTTTGTAAAAGTACCGCGATTCCAGTTCCAAACTCCGGGGTATGGCTCATCCTCGTCTTCGAAGCTGCTTTCTCGGGGAATGCCGTTAACGTCCTTATGATTTTCTTCCGCGTCGTCTTCGGGTTTATCGGTTTCAGTCATTGTTACACTGTCACTGCTCTCCATGATTATGTTTTTCACTTCTTGCATAGGAATGTCAAACAGCAGAGTCAGAATGACTGAAACGAAAACCACGCAAGCTGCTTCCAACGGGTTCAGCTGGAAAAAAAAAATTCACGTATTATTTGTACCAATAGTTGTATCGCGTAAGACGTTTAAGGTAGCTTTTTGGGATCCTACAGCTCTAAAAGGATGGAATTCCGAGGCGTATCGTGTGGTCCCAACGTTGTAGAAAAATACAGCAAACTGCGATAGGTAGATTGCATAAGACAATTTACTGAAAACTACCATCCAGTAACTAGAGAGTATCCTGTTAACGATTCCTGAAATATTGGGCATCAATGTATAACTCAACGAGCAAAATGTGACATTTTGTTTTCGTATTTCAAATCATACCTGTATTGTCTGTGAAACAAGCAAAAATCGTCCAGCTTAAGGCAAGTGCCGTCAAAATTGGACTGACAACTGCATAATGCGTTGCCTCATCCACGTTGTAAACGTAATCTCTTTTCGCAAGATGCCAAGGAGAAAATATTGACCATGATCCAAGAGCCAGTGCTATCGACCAACCAATAAATGCCACAATCTACAAAATAATTGAAAATTAAAAAAAAAATATTTTTTTAAGAATTTTGATAGTGATATTAGTACCTTATTCAATCGCAAGCTTTTCCCCAAATATTGTAAAAGTACACCAAGACTGACCCCAAAGACATACGGTGTTGCACGATGCAAAGGTAATGTGTAGGTCAAATTGGCTGTTTTATATAGATGCTGTATTCTACGAATTAAAAATATAGAAATATCATCACTTGGATTAAAATTGATTTTTTGAATGTTAAAAGTAACAATCACGTTCAAATACATACGTCATCCCGTGAAAGATAACAAGAGATAAGTTGTTATTGTAGGTCGCAAAGTATCTTAAAGTTGCAGATACTTGAAGTAAAAAGAAGACAATTATAATGCCAATAATAGGCTTTATCTGTAAAAAGAATACCAGTGCTGGTGCCAGCAATGACAGTTGCATGTCCAAAGCCAACTGATGCGTATGTGTTGCACACTAAAAAGTCAATATATTCTTTAATTCGGAAAAATATCGTACAAACTTTGTGACAATTCATTTCGATTTTATTATTTGAAGGAAACAACGCTCCGCAATACATTATAAACAACTCCAAGAAGACTTACCATATCTTCGAAGGGAAAGAAATTTTGTACGTAGAGGAAATTGATCCAAGAATTCCGCTTGCAAATATCGGCGTTCGCCTTAACGGCTGCGTTCCATTGTGGCCCAGAGCCCGTGTGCTCCATAACGAAAGCATACCAGAATACAACAGCCAACAGCGAAGGAGTCAGTCTGACGAAAAAAAAAAAAAAAAAAAAAAAGAAGCACCCAAGAAAAAATCCCGTTTCAATTGATATACTTTTTTTCCGTAAAAGCACGCAACGTCGTATACCTCATGTATCTAGCGAGTAGTCGGCAAAACCAGCGTATCTCACCGCGATCCTGCAGCTCTTTGGCCATATTGTAAGCTGTGAGCACGCCGCTCAGCAGTAAGAAGGAATCGGTGTAAAACAGCGATGCTCGGAGTATGAGGCTCAGCGGGTGGCTTGCAACCTGTCGAGATTTCAATAAAATAATATATTGGCCAACGTAGGGTCGTATGGATTTGAAAATGCCGCTGGAAGGAATTTTCGTTGAAAAACGGAGTAAGATTTCCTTGTTAATTTAACGAGAAGTAATATTAATCTTTTACCTCGGTGAGCAGTACCCGATTGGCGTACGGGATCCTCGAGGTCGGAATCAGCTTGTGCGCCACGTACAAGGCGGCAGTCGATAAGGCTCTTACGCCGTGGATGCATCCGATATCGGAGGGGCTTGTTTCTTTATTTCCGAACAATGCTTTGAGGGTTCTCTTCAGGGAGAAAGCCATTATTATCCTTTCGGAATAATTTCCTGCCGGCAGAACAAATTGCTCGTGAGCAAATTGGCTACTTATCGTTTGACATGCCCAAGCTCGAGGGCTTTGTTGTTTATCGATCGATCGAACGGTACTCCCCGCCGCGTTGGTTGATAAACCATTTTTTCATAGATATGTTAATTACCTTTTTCCTTTGCACTGCCAATGTAGTCTCGCAAGGTCGCTATGATTGCGAGGCAAACGAACATCGCGTAAAAGTAACTGAAAAGAACATTTTTTACGTTTATTTTTGAATGACAAACAACTCGTTTAGCCAAGCATGTCTAATTCTTACAGAACTCCGATGGTTTCTTTCGAATAACTCGATGGTTTTTGTTTCACGTAACAGTTGTCGGAATCCACATCCACTACGAATGTTATGCCAATCGTTGTATTGTAACTGTTGAGCGCTCTTTCGATGGATTTTTGAGCGTTTTTGGATGAACACGCGGCGGGGAGGCAAACCGCCCAATTTACTGTTGTGAATTTCGGTATGAAATGTCCTGGCTACAAAATTTCACGCGATTTAATCAATAGAAAAAAAAAAAAAAACCTATTTTAGTTCGTTAATTTTCAATTGTAACTTTTAAATGGTAAGAATTAATTTTAGAAACATTATTGATGAAGTTCGAATGATGTTGTGTCTCGAATCAATAATATACCACGTACTTACGTCACGTATGTTTCCCCTGATGAGCGCACGACTCTGTATGAGATTGACAGCAGCACTGGTCGACGGATGCGAGGCATAAAGATCGATATTAGCCAAGCAATATTTTCCTTGGATCTTAACTACGTTATCTTCTAGCTTGATGCGCCCTAGGGCGTTAAGGCACTGGTCGAAGTCACCGAGTTGATTGACGTTGCCCCGTAATAAACCAGCGGGGATCTTTGCGCTCGAGTCCAGCACTATACCGTTGGAAGAAAATAAAAATTTCAAAGATCATATTACTAAAATTTCAATGGTCTATTTTGAGTTAGGGATAATGAATGTCACTGCCTATCACGTATATACTTCCATTGTTGGGCGAGTTAATAATGAATTGATGCAATATAAGAATAAACTATACTTGTTTCTGTCGAAAGTTGTCTTTTTACTTTTATAAAAATTTCATGGGTATATGTATTTAATTGTAAATGAATAATTTCAAGCTTTTACTTTATCTTGAAGTATAAAAAAAAGCTAAATCAAACGTAACAGCATTTGAAGAACTTAGTCTGGCTTATTAAGAAACATAATAATTTGAAAAAGTTCCGTTATTGTTATTATTATTATTATTATTATTATTATTGTTATTATTGTAATAAAGACGTATTTTTCATGAAAATCTGATTAATAAAATCGACTTTTATAAAAAAATTGAGCATAAATGTAACACTAAGGGATCCATGCATCCGTGAAAGAAGCACAGTATATATCATATATCTCTCACGTTTATGAAAAGCCGTTAAAAAATACTTGCAAAGTTTTTAGTACATCTGTGGTGTTAACATACTTTTAAACTTTTTTAAAGAAAACAGCCATTTTACAAAGCAAAAAAAAAAATCATAATTTACTTTGTAAAGCCCATAATTTGTAGGCACGTAGTTGTCGCAAAAAAATTTTCCCATGACCCCGGCAGTGTGGATCTTCGATAGCAGTGAAATTTGGCACGAAGGTCGGCATGCTGAGAAGCACGTTGTTCAGCTCAACTAAGTTGAGTGGTGCTTCCGAGTCCCCTCGCTTTGGTGTTGCTATTGAAAGTTAAATGTTGCAATCGTTATAGCTACCACACGAATAATTAATTACAAACACTTTTGCACTTACATTCGGTGGTTGTTGATTTTTTTGCTAATGGTTGTTTCGAAGATTTTTCGTTTATCTCGTCGCTGGTTTTGGATTTTGGTGTTGGTTCAATGGTTACGGGAGTCTTTCGGTCTATAACGGAGGACAGCTTGATTCGAGGCGCTTCCGTGGTTTTGAGCGTGTCTGTGTCAACAAATCTTAAATTTTCTACGGTTTTCTTCACATCAAGTGAGTCGTCTTCTTCATCTTCGCTATCTTCGTCTTCATCGTCTTCACTCTCATTTCCTAAATCACCAGTATTTTTCTTCGCATTAATTGGTTTCTTCCTTTCCTTTCCTTCTCGCATCTTTTTTTCTTCGGCCTCCTTTTTCAATCTTTGAACCCTTTTTTTATCTTCTAGGGCATCCCTCTTTTTCTCAATCTCCTCATCTTCCTCGTCACTTTTGAGCTTTTCAGCCTCCTCTATTGCTTTTCTCTCTTTTTCCGCCTCTAACTCTTTCATCTTCCGTTCTTCTTCTTCCTCGCGCTCCTTCCGCTCCTGCTCCTCTCTCAAAACACGTTCCTCTATGGCTTTCAACCGTTCCTCCTCTTCTTCGGCCAAACGGCATTCCTCCTCTTCCCGTAACCGTCGTTCCTCGTCTTCCTTTATTCGACGCTCTTCGTCCAATCGCTTTTCTTCCTCCTCTTGTCGTCGCCTTTCTTCTAATTCTTTCAGCTCTTTTTCCTTCCTTTTTTGTTCCTCCATCTCTTTCAACTTTCGTTCTTCTTCCTCACGTTTTCTTTGCTCTTCTTCCTTCCTGCGTTCTTGCTCTAACGCTTCTTTACGTACCCGTTCTTCTTCTTTCCGTCGACGTTCCTCTTCTTTGCGTTTACGTTCTTCTTCATCTTTACGTTTTCGCTCCGCTTCTCTCAATCTTTGCTCAGCTTCCTCTTTTAATTTCCTTTCAGTTGCCTCTTTTCTCTTCCTTTCGGCTTCTTCTTGCTTCCGTTTCTCTTCCAACTCCTTCTCTTTTTTCCTTTTTTCTTCGTCCAGTTTCATTTGCTTCTCCAATTCCTCTTTCCTCCTCAACTTTTCTTCTTCTTTTTTGCGTTTTTCTTCTTCTCCTTTCACTTTATTCGTTTTTTCTTCGTTCAAACGTCTTCCTGATTCTTTTTCAGATTCGTTTGTTTCTTCTTCCAACGACGCTTTTTCTTGGGACTCATCACTTTCTTCTTCATCCTCAATCACCACCTCCTCTTCATCATCGGCATCGTCTTCTATCTCAACTTGTATCGATTCATCGTCACTATCCACCTTGTCCTCAACATTGTACTCGTTTAACTCGTCACTTTCACTTTTCGTCAACTTAGACCAAGTCCTAGTTTTCTTTTCTTTCCATTTTGAAATCGTGCGTTTTTCTACAACGCTATTCTCCTCGTCTTGGGCTTCATCGGCTTCCTTATTTGGAAGCTTAGCAAAACTGCCTCGCGTACTGACAGTCCCGAAACCGCGTTTAGGTCTCACACCGGACGATGCCCAAGGAGTTGACGACGAAGCCGACGCCGAGCATTTTTCATTGGTGCAAATATCCGAATTTTCACGAACGCGAAAGCCACTGCTACCCGTGTACAGACTGGCTGCCAGCAGCAGTAATAGCACCGACAGCGATGCAGTGGATTTTCGTAAGCTGCCAGGGCCTGTCATTTTTTATTGGATTCACATTTGTACTGCCAGGGGAAGCTTGCGCAACGCTAGATTTTAATTATCCACTAAAACAACTGTCGGTAAATTTACAAAGTCCTTACTTTGGCACTGATCTTTCAATCATTACATTACACTCGTCTCTATTTACATTCAAATTAATCCATCATATTTACAAACACGATTTATTTCTCAATTGCTTAGCATATGAATTAAAATATTCTTTAAAGCTTTTGCGTAATGTACTCATTTAAATAATTGGTACTTTTTCATAAACGACCACGTATTAATGTGCCACTGCCACGGAAAACATAAATTTACACAACGTTTAGACTTTGACGTACACTTTTCACACGGAAGTCTCACTCTTTTATCGATGATTCACTGCTCGTCCGTACGATTTTCGGCACTACGGCGCACTACACTGATTTCCTACTCAACACCAGTTTCCTTCACTCACCGAAAAAACGGCTCGCTATCCGAAAACCCTCACTATCACCATTTTTGAAATAAAAACACGCGCAGCTTTCTATCGCTTTTTCCTCGGCTTCGAATATACTTCATTCAAGTAAAAGAGAGAGAGAGAGAGAGAGAGAGAGAGAGACAGAACACGAAAATACAGTGAGCTGTAGAGTGCAAAAACCCACAAAAGGAACGAAAGAAAAAAAAACAAAGCAGGTGAAAAATTTTGCCGGAAAGGAAAAAAAAAGGAAAAAAGGAACGCTTCGTTCGACGGCTCTCTCTCCCTCCCGGTCGAGCTTAACAGACGGAAAAATGTCGGTCGGCGAAAAGCGAAAGCTCAAGCGGCAGAGGAGAGCTCTCTCTTCCCCAATACTTTGGCGGTGCGTATATGAACGCGTGTGCGTGAACGGGCGCTAAATTGGAGCACATGGCATACGGCCAAACGGTCCGAGCCCCGTTCGGCGGGTTTTATTTAGCCTCGCCCCGGCGTGGACTCTCATTCTTTCTTCGACGTCGAGGGAGCGCGAAAGCCCGATCCCGCAAGAGCCACGTGTCTTACATAACTCAACTGTTGCTCGAGCTTCCCCCCCCCCCCCGTTTCTCCTTTTCTCGGACCTTCACGGCTGCGTTTGGCTGCTCCCACGCACCTCGCTCCGGCTGAAACTGCGCTGATAATAATAAACGCGAAAGAAAGATTGAGGTCTCTCCGCACAGCTCTGCTATTGTTGCAACCTGCTGACATTGCATTCCGTTTTGGAGTGAAATTTAAACGAGGGCTTCGAGGGGTGAGATAACGGTGTTTTCATTATACCCGGATCGGCCGGTCCCCTGAATGTCACAAAGGGTTTATGGATGGATAAGAACGAGACATTACCGCGCTTCTTGAGTTTCTACGATTTTTGGCGAAAACTTGGTTTTACTCCTCATATATAATTTGTATGGTTAGTTATTTTTCTTTTTACATTGATATGGTCTTTTATTGCAATTGCAATGGATTATATAAATATTCAGTTGTTGGGGCCAATTAATCCATCTACGACGTTAAATACAATGACAAAAATAACTTATAATTTTAATGGAGAGAATGGTAAAAAATATATGACAAGTTTTTTGAAATGTTTCGTGAGTACATTTATTGAATAACGTATTTCAAAATATCGGTGCAATAAGATAACTTAGATGTTTGTAACGGTGTCAGTTTTACGATGAAAATGGGCGACCATTAATCTGATTTTAAAAATTTATTTACAACCCTGAAACGGTGTAACTTGTATAAAATTACCGAAAAGTAGAACAAAAGTTACGATCGTGATACATTCATCAGCCAAGATAAATTTAGGAAAATGAATCAACGCATAATCTGTTATTTAGCTTTGTTTTTCAAATATTCTTACGACTTGCAGTACGATGTATTTTTTGCGAAATAATATCAAAAATTTATCTAAAAATAAAATTAAATCAATCCACGCAAGGTAAAAATTTTTGTCTTTTATTTTCAACGCTCATCTCATTATTCTCTCTGATATGGCTGAATTTACGTAAAATTGGTTGGCTAATGGACATTAATGCAGATTTTTTAAATGTTTAAACTACTTGTACATGCATATCTGTGGCTTCTCGAACAAACCGATTAACTCCGTTTTTGTGATTTTGGAGAAAAACGGCTTTAAAGATTGAAAAGCTATTTTTTGACAGCGCAGAAACTTTGCGTTTCTTGCTGAGTCTAACGTTAGGTACTAAAACAAGACTTTAAAATTTTACGAGGGTGATCAAAAAGTGCAATGGACTTCCTTGCTACGAGTCGCTTTTGGAGTTATTCGGTTAGGCTGGGAACATATAACTTATTCGATTATTCAAATTTATGAATATTCAACAAAAAAACGTATTTAACAGCAAGGATATATGTCATGCCTGCTTACTTAACAGTTGTTATCGAGTAGTACATTTTATTACTCAAACACAGTACTGTAGTACTTCGTACCAAAAAGACGATACCGACAAAAAGTAACACGATTCGTTTTTCCTCGCTTAAAGTAACGTTGATAAATTTGCAGGGATTGTAACTAATCTGGAGTACCAATCACCAAAGTAATTGACGTTAGGTGATATACATTTGACCCCTGCGAGAGGAGTAAGTTTTTCTACGGCATAGTTCCACATAAACGCCCATATATCAAAATTTTATAAATATTTGGCTATTGCGCTATTGGAGTCCTATAAGGAATTACCCTTATCCTTATGGATTGAAGTGAAAATTTGACGTCTCGCTACTAACTTCTCTCTCTTAGATCAGCCGAAGTGTGACCTGTGTGACGCGAGTCGCATATGCCGTACGTATATGCATACTACACGAGAACTTTTAGTAATTATTTGTAAAAGTCACATATTTACATTAAATCTCTTATGAAATGGTGAAAATAACTAGATACAATGTTCTTTCATAAATTTCTGCCCCTTAAAATCATCTATTTTTACTTCAGCAACAATTTTTTTACATCACTTATTCGGTTGGGCCGGGAAAATGGCAGTTAATTGCCCAAATTTTGTCCCGACAACGGGAAATCGGTAACTCGAATCATTTAAAAAGTTTGTTTCGACGAAAACACACTAAAAAAGGATATGCTTTTCTGTCTTAACTTAATATTAGAAAAAAATCGATTTGTCCGGGAACCCACAGATATGTTATTCAGAATTAACTTCTTTATCAAACCGTCAAAAATAGGCAAAGCTTTTCCGCAAATAATTCCAAAATAATATTTTTCGTAGATTTAAAATCTTGCAGCCCTTTGAAAAATAATATTAAATGTGTGAATGCTTTGGAATTGTGAAAAAAACGGAGTAACTCTGTCAGTAATTAATAAAAAGCTAAAAAAACTTGACCGAAAAATTTTTTATCAATAAACGTTTGCGATTACTCAGTTTTTGATTGTAATTTATTTTTTAAGTACGCTTAACATTATTTATAAACACTATCAATTTTCTGAACAGTATTTTGTTGTATTTTAATGATACTCAATCTAAAACAACGAAGAAATAGAGTTTATGTTGTGTAAAAATATGCAACGATATAAGCATTTTGAGTAGAAAGTTTAGTATTTATTTACGTTTTATAATAGTTAAAAGTAATGTACTACACAAATAAAACTGTAATGAATATTCAATAAACTATATTTTGCTCTTGATGAACATGATAAATAAAATGGAAATAATTCCACTGCCGACTAGTGATAAGTTAAGCAGTTACCATCAGACTTACCCGCTGTAGAAATTGTAGGGATTTAACTCAGCAACGTAAGAAAAATAATGAACATTGTTATATATTTTAAATATTAAAAACATTTTTTTTTCAGTCTAAAATAATACACATGCTTGATATTGAAGGGTACAATTTTTGGAAAATAACTCAAGAGTTTTACATGACGTTTTTTCAAATCGAATTGTCCTACATTTTTTCAAAAATCGGTTTTTCTCAAAAAATCGTATTGCATTCAAAATGATGTGTATAAATAAAAAGGCGTAAAATAGTATTAAAAATAAAATGTATTTCATAAATGTAATTTAAAATTACAATATAATTAGGACTTGTGTCCCATATATTCTCATTTACAAGGCTATCTGAACCTTTGCTGATATTTCAAGCAATAATCATGAATAATATTGTAACGAGGCAAAATGGCCTCTATATTCCAAAATGCTCTCGCTGATGCAACGTGTATACAAAGAGCATTAATTTGACGCTTCTCCGAACTGTTTGTTTTTCGGGAGCTGTATACACGCTGATGGAGCTGAAACTAGCCCCACGCCGGAGTAGCCTCACCAGGGACGAATCAGACCTGAGGCGCTCTGGGGCTAAAAAAATTTTTTTTTGTCCTATTCCATTAGAAAAACGCTACATATAGTTGCGATTCTCCCATTCGCAATCCCTGCAACTTTTCAAAGCCGTAAAAAGTCGTCAAGCTGGGGAAACGAAGAGTTTTCCGTAGATACGTACAGACGCGTATACAAAAAAATCAGAAAAAAATTTATAACTTTTTTTTTGTGTAAAAAACGGCAAATAAGTAAAAAAATGCAAAAAAAAAAGACATCACGAACTAATACAAAAAAACGAACAATAACAAAAAAGAGTGTAAAAAGTAAAACGCAACTTAAGATGAAAAAAACAAAAAAAAATTGACAAGACCTTTGAAATCACTGGCATGGAAAGTGATAACAACATCAAAACTCTTACCGATTCTGTGGAGGAAGTGCATAAATTTGACTCTCATCCAGTAATGCAAAAAAATTACGAAATTTTTCAAAAACAGAACACAGAAAAAAAGCTACCTCATTTAATAAATATTTTTCAAAGTCAAGAAGATTATCTTCAAAATTTTTATTCTACCAAGATAACGGTTTATGAAAATAGTAAGTAAAAACTGTGTTCCCATGCTTAGTGTCTTAGCGTTTGATACTTTTTTCATTACATCATTGTCATCAAAAGAGGGAATTGGTAACATGTGGAGATATTGGGCTTCAAAAATAGATCTTTGGAATTTTAATGTTTGGCTTATGCCAATTAACGATAACAATATGCACTGGACATTGTTAATAACTGTGCCATCGTTGAAAAAGTTTATATACTTGGATTCTCTTCACGGAGTGCCTCCTAAAAATCTAATAGAGAATATTTGTTTATTCATCGAAATGTTTAGTGGTCCAATGATTCCAATGATTACAATGATTAAGGACGGTGGGTATCGTGGTCACAATGGATGTTATTTATTCCAAAAGATGTCCCACTTCAAACAAATTCTCTTAATACACACGGAAATTGCGGTACACACGTTTGTTCGTGGGCGTATATTGTATGTAGGGTATCTGTCCCAATTATGGACACTTTAAGAAAAATTTCGAGCTCAACTTTATTTTGTGTCTAACGGTCAATAGAAGTACACCTTGTATAATAACGTATAAGTCGTTTGATTCTTTTTTAACAACATCAATTTTTTTTTTATCAAAAAGTTTTGTTATTTTTATTTTAATGATGAAACAAGAAAAAAAAATTTTGTCCGTATTACGGACCCCCTCGATGGACTTTGAACCTATCGTGGACCCCCCTATTACGGACCCTGTCCATAATGTGGACCCCCTATTTATGGACCCTGTCCATAATGTGGACCTTCTTATTATGATTATTTGTGTATGTAGAAAATATTATGCGTAATCATGATTAGAATGATTATTATGTAGAATAATTTTTTTTCTAGTGTATGATGTTGAATTGTACATGTTTAATAATTTTATGCCAAATGTTTTGAATTTTTCGTCGTGTAGAACTAGCCCTACCTGCAACATGTTGAACTACATAAT